TGTGGGTGGGTTTTCCAATTTTTTCTTTATCACTGTAGAGAGGTTTCATCTGGGTTTTACTGCTGTCTTCCTCTGTTTCGATGAATTTCGGAAAATCTGCCGGCGTAGGTATCTTAGCTGCTGGCTTCGTCTGCTGCTTCTTTGCTTCATATTGCTTCTTGTACACGGGGCAACCTCTGTATGAACTTACATGCGGTAGTGAGCAGAAGATGCACTTAGGTTTTTCTTCTGGCTTTAGAGGGCATTCTTTACTTCTATGGTGAAAGGTATTAAGTAATCAAACGTCTTATATACTTTTTAGTAGCATACAATATGTTCATTCATGCACGTACCTCTGCACGAATATCTCATGAAAATGTCATTCATGATACACGTGCTTGTGTCAGACAAGATAAAGTTTACTCTCTGGGAAGTTTCAGAGTTCAGTTAAAAATAAATGAGTTTTAGCTACGTTAATGAATAACACCGTTAATCATGAGTGTTTTCTGCGAGTTTGAACCAGTATAGACACATACGACAGCTTTGTACGCATATACAGGGCTGAACCAACTATCAAGCAATATAAGCATTTGCTTAAGGTATCAAGGAAAGGAGGCACCACAAAATTTCCCACTGCCGGTTTTACCATGGAATGTATGGTGCAGCTAAATCAAAACCGAGAGAGAGAGAGAAGAAATGAAGAAAAACCGGTGTAAACGTGCTTGGGAGCTCCAACATCTTTCAAGTGCTTAAGGCTTGTAGAAGTCGTACTCTGGCCCTGCACATACCGTAAATTAGCATCACATCTAGAAACAAAGAAAAAATAAATTATACAGTACAAAAACTGTTCCAAAAATTTCTTTACGGAGATAAATCTGTGGATGATGTACCATTGTCCGAAAGATAATCATGATGGTTGTACGTTGTCTACAAAAATTCCTTCCTTCCATGTTTGGAACTTCTAGAATTTTACATATTTGAAATTTCAACGCCGCTGCTGAAGACATCTGCTTGCGTGTACAACAAATGAGGAAAAAGGGGGAGTTAAGTATGTAGGGATTTATATTTATTTTAAAGTTAACCAAGTTAATTTAATTTCACGTTCTTTCCTATAAGCCTTCATTTCCCTAATTGTCAATGCCATAATATTTAAATTTGGTAGCGCGCGTGAAGGAATGCAAATTCTACCTTGAAAAGAAAAGGTTTAAATACCAAATTTTAGAAGGAAAGTTAGGGAGAGTTAGGGTATTGCCGTCACCTCTGTAGCGTGAGCTTCTAGTTCCACAGTAACTTGGCATAATAGCATTTACTTTGCTGCCACTAGTTTTGACTCAGTTTTAAGTAACAGGAATTTTCTGAGCCCTGTAACTTAATTTTTGCTACTTGTTAACATCTTGGAATTTTAGTTTAGTTTCTTGTTATTTCATTTACCGCCCAAGTGAGGAGTAGTACGTTAGCGTCAAGTCGAAGCAAGTGTGAATTTTAAAGAGTCTAATAAAGGGTACTTCTCCTGTGTAATTCCTACACGCACTTACTACACGTACAGTTGTCACTTAGAAGTTAGACAAGTAAACCCTACAAGTAAATGAATATCGAATGAACTAACAGAACGTAAAAAACTTTAGAAGCTCTCTAAATACTGATTATTCATCTCGTTACAAAAAGGAATCGTTTATGTATTTCTTGCTGACGTTGAGAAGATTATTAGGTTTTTCCCAAAGAGAAGATATATTCGATCAGCTGCGCCTTTACCGGGATGCATATTTCACAAGTGCATATCAGCGTAGCCACTGAGGGAGGGGTTTCGAAAATGGACCCAATGAGCTTCTATTGCTCTTGTGACGCTAAATCTTCGTGCATGTGAGCGTATGTGTTGTTTACGTTTTAATTTGCATTTGTTTCACAGTTATAATTGTATGGCGTAAAAGTAGAAAATCTCGTAGTGTTTTCGTTTCATAAGTTTAATTAATCGCTGACATTTCACTTTCGCTATTTTTATCAGGCATTAATATTTGGGTTGATGTTCACGGCAGATTATCGCTCTTTACATCGAGAAAACGACTCAAGCTACAATTAGCCTCGAATATTGTGCATTTACTAAGATCTGTGGATTAAGAGAATTCAAGTGTATAGTTTTTCTTTTTTTTTTTTTTTTTTTTTTTTAATTGAGCTGAGAAGGACTTGGAAGTGTTACAATGAATCAAGTATTTTCTTATTTCAGTGCTTGCATTCTTTTGATTTTTAAAGTGTAAGTTTCATAATATATATTGTGTATGATTTGATTATAACCACTGTTATTATTAAAAGTTATATGTGAATAAATTGAATATATTCGTTGTGAATAGATAATTCATTCTGTTTGATGTATTTCTTGGTCTAGATAGTAATTTAAGAGTGGCGTTTAAATCTGAAATTTAACACACTAAATGCAAATTAGTGAAGCACTTTGAATAAATTCTGCATTGGGCTATTATTATTATTATTATTATTATTATTATTAGAGAACATCTTTCATATGCTGAAATAAAAAGTACTACTGACTTCTATTTACATAATAACTGGTGCAAATATTTTTCATATGCATAGCTTATATAAAGATAGCATTTGGGCTCAGATGTGTATCACATATTTCTTTCGTCTTATTAAGTAATATTTCGCATGAATATTTTGCGGAGTATCCAATATGTGTTTGAATTTATTCAAATTCTTTCAACCAGGTGAACTTCACACTGCTTATATTTGATCTAACTTCACAATGGAAATTTTCAGAAGAAATAGACGATGTACAGAAAATTGCGTGGCAAAATATTTTCAACCATCTTGCCTAAATCTTAAAGCGTGCGAAAGGTCATGTGACACTACAGAAATATTACTGGATGTTCATTGGTCCATCCTAGAAGCCACTCTCTCGGTGGCTACACAGATGTGCACTTGTGAAATATGCTACTGGAACTCTTAAATAGGGATCAACAACTTGCTAGTTGGACTTGTTAACTACTTACAGTACGAAAGGCAGCAGTGGGGAATACCATAATTCCTTACATTTTCTCCATTTAAAAGATAACTGATGTAAGGTATGAGAATCCAGTTGACCAAATTCAAGTGGTGATGGGATATGGTCTTCCATGGAAATAAGTTGCGTACCTTATCAATAAACCGTTACATCATTTCCTGTTGCGGATGGATCCCTTTTCTTGTATTTCAAAGCCTACTCCATATCCGAAAGTTTATTTTGTAAACAATATCTGGTATAGTAGACCATGAATTCCTTGCTCAAGGCCAAATCGTTAAGACTAACAACTCGGATCCATACAGTTTTCCTTGCATTAAAGAAAAGTACTGAGCAAGAATCAGGTGTGTTTCTTGCACTACAATAATCAAACCACACATAGCGGAAATGACTTAATGATGTAATTACTGTTTTGGAATAGTAACTGGTACCCGCGTCTACTGTGTTCCACAAACGTCTTTCCGAACTATTTTACCACTTCTTTTCTGTTATAGAAAACAACATGCTCACGAGACAGTTACGTGAGGATGCACTGATAAAATCAGAGATAGTCACATTTTTCGGCTCTAATGACAGGACATTTTACAAAAACGGCATACTTCAGTTTATAACATGTTGGGTAAAAGTTATCCTGCGTAGGTATTTTGTAGAATGAAGCAACAGAACGTATTTGGTTCTTGATAATTAAAAACGTATGCTATTTGCAGTGCATACCCGTCATTAGGCAGCGTGTCCAAACTGAGCAAGTGGATAGCTATGATAACAAAACACAACATGATGCGAAAAATGGCAAGATTAGGATACATGTGTTTTTAACGGTTTAATAGCAAAAATAGTTTATTCTTTCGCTTGCTTAAAATTAAGCATAAAGAGGAAGATTTGCTTTCGCCTAATTTTAAATTTAACATCGGGATTATGTAAAGTTTAGTAAATTTTGTAATCATCTAATAGTGCCCAAACTCTTAGTAGACGTTAAGAGAATTATCGCTAAGTCTAAAATAACTACAACTGAGCCTTGAGAAGATTGTAAAAGATCTTTTATTCTAAACTAAGGAAAGATTGTAAAAGATCTTTTATTCTAAACTAAGGAAAGATTGTAAAATATCTTTTACTCTAAACCGAGGAAAGATTGTAAAAGATCTTTTATTCTAACTCGAGGAAAGATTGTAAAAGATCTTTTATTCTAAACTGAGGAGGAACAGAAGGGACACTTCGTGCTTACAAGCTCACCCAGCACTTATGGAGAGATAACTTAAAACAACACTAAGTTCAAAAGTAAAATTTCAAATAAGCTAGTAGACAAAGGCTACGCAGAACGCAAAGTTAAATCATACATCTAACTGGCGCTGATATTCGATATTGGCGATTATTATGCAAGGCCGAAGACTATGAATCTTACGTGAGTTAGCAACTACTAATATGGCCTCGAAAGGCAGAACATGCTCTGTCATACAATCTAAAAACTTCATGTTAAATACATGCGAACTAATTTATATTCTGACCTGAAACCATGAGGAAGGTGGCAGTAAAGTCTAAATCAGAAAATAACTGATTAATTAACATTGAGGAATTCTACAGGTGTTTCTATTCCAAATTGATTCTTTGGTTTGGTTCAAAGCACAGAGGATTACTTCCTTAGTAAATTGGCCATCGCACCTAATCTACGAAACTTGCAAATTTAATTGCTGTACCTACAACACAAATTTCGAATATCTCCGAAGGCTTATGTAGTGGCCATATTAACAAGGATGTACTCACAGTTGTAATAGAATACAACATTCAACTGGGAATGAACCAGATTCTTCTCCGGTTTTAAGACTGAATCTGAAGACTCATATAATATCCCCCCTCCCTTTTTATGTTTTCAACACATGCTGATGTATCCTAATGTGATCAGTAATAATTTCAAATACGTTAATAATTATATACATTTAAAATACATTTTCATATAACATCCATTTGAATTCAATAGAGTTCAGAAGAATATTAAAGAAAGGAAATGTCAACTTACCGCAATAAGAAATGCTTGTAGGCTGAAAACTGTAGCGAATATGCCGAAAAGAGGAAGAAAGTGTAGGAACACACCAAAGCTCGTGTGAAACAGCAAAGATAATACCAGAACGTATTTGCGACCATATTTGTCAGCTAAAATTCCAGTGGCTAGGGCTCCTATCATCGCCGCTACAGTAGCTAAGTAAGGTAAAAGGGCTGCTAAAGCTTCATATTCGCATACTAGCTCCCACTGAAACAAGAAAATCATCATGCTTTAATAACCATTTAATCAATATTTGATTAAAAAGATTTTATATTGCCTTAACCTTTTGGAGACTCGTGGTAAAAAATTTGTGTCATAAACAAAAGCCCCGAGTCTGACTCGTGGTAAAGAATTTGTGTCATAAACAAAAGCCACGAGTCTGACTCGTGGTGAGAAATTTGTGCATAAAATGCCGCGTATTATTATTAGAACAAGCGATTGGAGTTATTCTACATCTTTTTTTTTTTTCCTTTGATGTAACGTCAGTATTTTTTTTTTAGTTGTTTCTGACGAAACCGGATATCTGTTACTTTAGTTCCCCGCAAAGCTTCATTCACCGTTTCAAATAATTCGTATAAAGAATTAAAGAACTCTTAACCCATCAGCCACTCTTATACCATTATGCCACACTCATATGCCAATCTCATACCCATCAGCCAACTCTTATATACCCATCATTAACTCTTAAACTCTATACCCATCATATACCCTCATCCATGCATTATTTTTGTCAACTGATCAACTGATTATGATTACACTCTAGACGTCTTAAAATTACTATTTGTACCTAAACATTGCTTATTATTTCACAATTCCTTTCGTTACAGTGAAATATATATGTCATGAAAAGTATACATTTTGCGCCAGTTCGGGTACACGGCTGAAGAGTTGAACGGCATGGGGCGCGACCTACTTTCTTGTTTACAACACATCGCGCAATTGGCAGATATCGTGTAGGCCAAGGGGTTAAGAACTATTACATTAGATAATAAGCACTGCAGTAAGCTGAAATATCTAATCAAAATATCATTATTTTGAAATAAAATGCTCATAATTATTTTAAAATCCTCTAATTTTTTTTTCTTGCAATACAATATATCAGAAAACTGCCATTAAAACTTAAAAGTAATTTTTTAAAAAAACTTCATTGTAAGGTTTTATATTTCTTAATCCGTTATCTTATCATTTGTAGCTTTGTAGAGACATTAGGTATTTTTGGAAGCCGAAGAAATGAAAAATTAGCAAACGCCTTCGCCAGGAATTGAACCACGGACCTCTGGGAATACCGGCACAGCGTGCAGAACCACTACACCACGAAGGCACGCTAGTAAAATGGGAGAAATACCTTATATACTCTTTTTTTTAAAGAGCGACTGGGGTTTTCAGGGAACCCAATCGCCAAATCCTGGGTGTGGAAAAACCTCATCCAACACCCTTTTAGTTCGGGCGCCACTGTAAGATCTATCTCTAACTGTCCACATGCACTAACTTAGATCCTACAATGAACCTGTCGAATTCTCGCACAGGCGTCAAAAAATACTAGCACAGAAGAATTGTGCAAAATAACCCTTTATTAACTCAAACTAAAATAACAGATAGCACGGACTTCGTGCGTAACAAAAATACCGTTCACTTACGGTGATAACTAGTCCCTGTTCGGGCGCCACTGTAGAGGAGACATTAGGTATTTTTGGAAGCCGGAGAAATGAAAAATTAACAAACGCCTTCGTTGGGAATCGAACCACGGACCTCTGGAATACCGGCCCAGCGTGCAGAACCACTACACCCACGAAGCCACGCTAGGAAAGTGGGATAAATACCTTATAGCTTTATTTTCACTTTTAATTTTGTAGGCTGTCACCAGGATGGAGATCAGTTAACGTATGTAAGAACATGTGCGTTCGGTTATTTGAATGTAGAAAAGTATACGAGGGCTATTTATTCTGAGGGAAAGGGTGCCTTCGTGGAGGATTTTTCTAAGGAAACTGACACGTATTCACGTTGCACATGAGCTAAACCACGAAAAATCAATCATGCAGCTAACCCATTTGCGTGAGATCTGGCCGGGGTCAATTTCCCAGTATTCAGTGGTCTTAACCATTAGCCATTTGTGGCACCTGTATTAGAATAGAACTCTTAAAGTTAAGAGAGAATTTTTGGCAACGATAACGGACCTTTCTCTGTACTATCTACACTCAGTTCCTGAATTTCCTAAACCGGTTTCAGCCTTTTGCTAGCCATGGTTTGCTTGTGTGATTAGAAGGCTTAAGCCAAAGCTTACTACCAAACTTTGCCTTGATAATTTTATTACTATAATTTTTTGCCAACATTTTATTTGTCTTCTTTAAATAGTTTTTTTCCGTATGAAGTACGATACATTGCTTGCTAATACAGTTACAAAAAGAGTGAGTTGATTTCATTATTTGTCCAAAATTAATTATGTTTTAAAACTTGAAATTGCCAAAACATGAATATTTTCGTCATTTAAAACACTTCTGTTACTGCAATATGTCTACGACCAATGACTACGGAAATAAAGGTCGGGTAAGATGCACAATTTCAACGTTCTATGACTAATCCTTTTTGAATTATGCGAGGTACATACGTACATACGTACTTACAGACGAAACGATTTTGGAATAAAGAGTCCTTTATTCTGTCCGTACATATAATCGCCACAAAAAAAAAAAAAAAAAAAAAAAAAAAAAGATTTCGGGAAAGGCCAAAATGGATATTTCCGTTAAAATCTGAAACCCGAAATTTTTTGTGATTACAGCATTTCCCTTACTTCATACAAAGAAGTAAAAAGTGCATATAATATAGGAAAAAAAAACATGCGTTACAGTAAATTTAAATGTTGCATTAAAATACATATACATACCTATATTAATAAACTTACAAACTTCAGTTATTTAAAACAATAATTGACCTTCTTCTGAATTTTTTTTTTTTTTTTTTGGACCAAAAGTTTGGTGAGCAGAATACAAGACTATTTTATGCAGGATAGAGATCTCATGGAGTCATTTTTTCTCACATTACACTGGTTGTTTTCGTTGCAGAATATGTATTTATTTTTAAAGAACAAAACAAAGGAAACATTCATTTAAATACGGGAAAGAGAAAAGAAACAGTAAATTTTCGGATTCACCCATTCAGAGCGATTTTTTCTAAATCGTTTCGGTTAAGAAAGTTTAAGTGCATTGTGAAGAAAAGCTTGCACTTTCTTCTCATATTCGCCATATTTATTTTGGAGCCACGTTTATTTTAAAATATTTGGCGAGGAATCGCCAAATGTCGCGAAAGTTGGCGACCGTTTGGGCCTTATCCCTTTGTAGCTGGAATTGATACAGTAATTTAATATCATTATTTGATCCCTGTATGAAACTGCTACCCTGTTCGGTCCTTATATGTAACTTTAATCGTATGTGTCTTCCATTAATTTCGAGAAAGGGAAGGTACTGGAAATTCTTTGGCGGTAGGGAGAAAACTATGAAGACCGGGGAGAGCATCATTTTCTCAGTTGTTTAGTTTAACGTTGAGTTAGGAGTATTGAGAGATCTCCGTGTGAACCTCGCCTTTTAGATGCGCTTTGCATTGCGCTGTGTTTAACACTCCTTAAGTGTTTAAAGTGTAACTGCTGATTGTGCTTTGTGATACTGAGTAGACCTGTGCGAGTATTTTTGTAAAAAATTCCAGAACCGTAAAGTGTTTCTTTGGGTAAAAATAAATTTTATCAAGCTATCAGCGGTTCTATCTGCGTTCAATCCGATACAAATACCTACGCATGTAACAACATATATGATTAACTGAGCTGTTTAGTGATAAAAAGTTATCATGAAAATTTAAGTTTAATATATAAAAAAAATCGTAAATTCTATATTTAAATACACGCATACTTAAAAGCAATAATACTTTAAAAAAGCTACATGTAAAACCTTAAAGCTCTGTACTTCGAATTAAAGGACAATGCATTCATCTTAAGTGAAATGTTAAAATTTCTGAGGTCGATGATTTGGTTTGTACTAAATATAGTCAACTATAAATGACAAAAAAATATCACCAATTTTTTCTAATGTGTAAATCGCGAGTACTTTATTACAATCTAATGAATATACCGCAGTTTAACGTACATAAATATATTACGTTGATCTCTCTAATCGACCATGAATACATCCTAACTGTATTTTTCTGAAGGCTTTCTGAGTTATTTGTTTTATTTGGAAGCTGTAAACATGAAAAATCAGTCATCCAATCGTCGGGATTCGATGTCTAGCTCTTCTGATCGCTAGCTTGATGTACCGCCGCTTATACCAAGGAGGCAAGCAGTAAGGGGGTAGAAAATTCCTTACATTCTCCCCCACTTAAAGGGCGACTGAGAAGAAGGAACGAAATTGTTCAGATGGTAACAAATTATCGATCACCACGTTTTATTCCGGGTGCCATATGTAGAGTCATTTAGGATTTTTGTGATAGAAAATGTAGGAAACTCAGCGATGTCTTACCAGTATTCGAATCATGGACTTTCCGACTGCTTGTCGAATGTGTTTCCAATTACACCATGAAGACGTGCGTTAAAGAAGGGAAAAATTCCTTACAAAGTTGTAGAGCCATTAGGCTATTTCGAAGCAGAAGAAACGGAAAATGAGCAATCCGTTGCCGGGACTCGAACCTCGGAACTTTCGGATATGCGCTGAGCGTGCTGATCATTACACCACGAAGGCAGGCTAAGAAGGCGGGAAAAATACCTTATATACTCCTCATTTTAAAGGGCGAGTGGGGATTAGGGAACGCAGTCGCCAGATCCTGGTGGTGGAGAATCATCCTCCACCACCTTTTTTAGTTCGGGCGCCACTGTAGAGACATTAGGTTATTTCGAAGCAAAAGAAGCAAAAAATGAGCAATGCCGTCGCCGGAACTCGAATCTCTCGAATACGCGCCAAGCGTGCTGACCACTAGGCCACGAAAGCATACTAAGGAGGCGGAAGAAATACCTTATAAAGTGGGTGCTACACGATTTAGATTTATGTAGCTGGTTGAAACGTTTTGGACGGCAATAAGTATCTCCCATGAATAAATATATAAATAAGATAAATATACACTATTGTGCAAAACGTAAGCAACGTTTCTGATTTTGGCAGAAATTCCGCAAAAATTTAATAAATGAATAGGCAAATAAATGAATAGGCCGCTTACAGTAGGGAATGTACAGCAACTGAATAGTAGTAATAACTGTATCTAAGTATAGAATAGTAGTAGAATATCTAAGTATAGAATAGTAGTAGAATAGAATAGTAGTAATAACTGTATCTAAGTATTTGCAGGTTGATTTTTGTATTCTATTCATTGTATATTCCATTATGAACTGTCTCTTGAACTCTCTTGCACGTGTATGTATATACTATATATATATATATATATATTTTGTTTTGTTTTTTGTATTTGAAGTATCTGAGTTGAATATATATTTAATATAATGGTAAAAGTATGTACTAAAATATCACAAATACTGTGGTGTATAAAGTTCTCATGTAACTAATTGGTACTCTTGGTTTAAATTGCAACAACAGTATTCAAGTATTGATAGGTTAAAGAAGTTAATAGTAATAATTAATAGGAACTTTGCCAATGGTATGCTATAAATCTAACATAATTCTGCTATCTTACGGTAAGATGCATTTAGAGGTTTTTAGAATTAAAACTCTACGTCCTATATAGTTATTTAGGAAGTTCTTTTTCGGGGGGAAAAAAATTTGGCTTAAAATTGACTGGTGTGCCATAATTTTGTCCTTGTATCCCTAAGATTCTAATGTTAAATTGTACATAATTGTCTGAATAAGAAATGTCTTCTTATAATTGTATAGCTAAGATGTATGTTTATCTAGATTATTTATTTTTCTGAAAACCAGTAATTGTAACCCTGGTCACAGGAATTTTTATAGAACTGTGTAAAATTGCATGTCTGAAATCAATATTAATGGCTGAAGTATAGGACTGATTGTAAATAAGCTGTGATAAATGTATGACGTATGTATTAGAAGAAAAATTGTAAATCCAGACTATGTATTGAACCCTCTGTTGCCCACTGGCCTTGTTTGCAAGTGTATCTCTTTGTTTTAAGACTCAGTAATTGCATTCTGACCTGCCACCCACCCCGATTGTGGTGGAGCGGGTAGTAGATAGCTTCCGGAGGCAGAAGCTTTAATCTGTGTAAGGCAGTCTGCTAGATTGCTAGGCAACGGAGCCCCTGTTCTCTGGCGTATAATAATAATAGTAGGGAACGAATGAACAGAAGCTTTATTGGCAAAATAACCGTGGTACGAAAAGCTATTTGGCCATCAAGAAGAACAGCAAACCGAGTAAAACAGCAATGTCCGAAGAAAATGGTAAATAAGGTAAAAACAAATTCAGAAGTCAAACAACAAAAATCAGCGTTATATTTTCAAAACTTTCGCATGAGTAGTTTCGATGGTTTTACCGAACCACCATCCTCAGCTGCAAAACCGCAAATAAACAAGATAGGAAATAATGATTAGATAAAATAAGAAAGCCTGGACAAGAAAAAGCAAGTGGCGCCATCTGTTGATGAAACCAGAACTAAAACATAATTTCTTTAAAGGCCGAAGGCAAAGATGGATTGGAATTAGGATCGTTAACTAGAACAGAAAGATTTTTTTGAATGTGAAATGCCTCTAGAAAATTCAATTCTCCAATGGAAGATGTTTTTTGAATAATTTTGGCAGCAGAAAAATTGAAAGTGTGATTTTCGGACCAACAATGTTGAGCAACAGTTGTTTGACTTCTGAGTTAGTATTTGTTCGGCGTGTTATTGTGTCTTAATTAAGGTAAAAACACAAAACATTACATAATAAAACGGCAAAAAAAGTTTTGTAACACCATCTTAGTAAGAAAAATGAGCATTATGGAATATATATGGATATATATATATATGTAATGAATCGTGAACTGAGGTTTAAAAAAAAAAAAAAAAAAAAAAAAAAAAAACAGAAAATTGTATACCAGCACAGACTATAGCATCGGAAATTCTAAACGTATATTGCTTACTGCTTTTAAAATTTTTGTAATTTTGCTGTTGAACTGTATATGGCGGAAGTGCGAAAAAAATGATATTTAGTAATAAAGTTAAAAAGGAAAAATAAAGCAAGCTTAATAGGAATGAGTATAACAGCAGAATGGTAAACTGCGAACTCAGCGAGTGTGTAAATTACCTTAACAAATCCTTTTGGCCGACCGTTAAAATCTGAAACATTTCAAGTCTTTTTATTTGTTCCTCATTTGCGATGATAGTGTACATTTATTTTCTTGTTAGTGTTACAATTTACTTGCGTAAGCCTCGTAGTATACTTTGCGGAACATGAGGAGTTAGAATTAGTGTTTAAAAAAATCCGCTACTGAGCTAGGTAGCAGGCTTTCCTTCACAATTCAATCAGTTATACTGGGTGATTGCCGAGGCTCTGTCCATAAATTACTTCATTACTAACTTCACTCGCTAGTTAACTCAAATTAATTTCCATTCTGGTGAAGGCCGTTAGAAGAAAAAGAAGGTACAGAAAAGAATTAACCTAAAAATAACGTAACGAGTTAGGTATAAAAGAAAATATTCGCACTTACTTCAGTAACTACTGTAGATTCTCCGTTTCTAACCTGAAACTCCCAGCCATCATCACAAGCTTTCGTGCCTTTGGAATGGTCTCTGGGATCAGAATACAATTCACAAGCTGAATACTGTCTTCTCCCATTCACAGTAATTATAGGTCTCAGGTCATAGTCTCCGAAAGTGAGATTGGACTCCGCCCTGCATCTGTGCTTCGGTGTCGCAGTATAGAAAGTCAGAAGATGTCCACTGAAAGACACTGGAAACTGCATGCAACACAGAAGGAAAGCTATCAAGAAGTGGTACCTTCCGGGAGTGTCCACCATGAGCAGGACTCTGTCAAGATGGGATTGAGCAATCGATACCATTGTCATCTTGATATTGAATATATAGATAGCCAACAGGTTACCTCCATTTTCTTTTCAACGAGTTATTTTCCTTTTAAAAACCTGTAAAAAGAGAAATCAAAACTATTGTTATACATTTTATGAAATTATATGAGTTTAAATTCACTCAAATGTCCACAAAAATCTATTATACGACAGTCTTTTCGCGACCGTTAATCGCAAACATATATTTCCAAACACAAAATGTTTTAAATGATATTCAAAGTTTGTAATTTTTAAATACAAAAATCCTGATGTGGATACCACATGACATACTTGTACGGCCTATTAAATTACACAGATTTCTTAGCTGCATTCATTTAAACATATTTCCTCGAATTATTTTCAATTAACTAAAAGGAGACTTGAGGCAAGCTGAAAATGACATCAGAAATTGCAAATTTTGAAATTAAATTGTAGAGATATTAGGTTATTTTGAAGCAGGAGTACATGAAAAATGAACAATGCCCTCGCCGGGAATCGAACAACGGACCTCTCGAATACACGTCGGACTCGAGCCTCGAACCTTTTGAATACGCGCCGAGCGTTCTGACCACTACACCACAAAGGCGGGAGAAATACCTTATAAAATAACCCGGTCAGGTTCTGTGGTACGGGAGTCAGCCTTCTCGTATTTTTATGTTTTCATAACGAGTGTTGAAGCTTTCTCAAATATAGCATAGTTTCCCAAATATTGCGTAGGAAACTGGAGACAACACTAAAAATTAGATTTTGTAATTTATTCAATTTTTTTTTTTTTTTTTTTTTTTTTTTTTTTTAAATTTGACATTGCTAAAACATGAATATTTTCATCATTAAAAACACTTATGTAATCGGCAGAGCATGACTATGACCGCCAACTGCTAAAATAAAGGCCGGGTAAAAACTTTTAAGCCGGGTAGTGGCATAGGTGTGTGTAGGTACATTATTATGCATTTAACTATATTATTCCACCAACTGCGAAAATAAAGGCCGGGTAAAAACTTTTAAACCGGGTAGGGGCATAGGTGTATGTAGGTATATGTATATATCTTTAGTATATGCGGCTTAAGTGTCTTTTTGTCGCCGATAGTTTATTGGTTGCTTGCGTAACTGTACTAACCAATGGGGTGAAGTTTGCCACGGCATTCAAATAGTCCGTAGACACTGATACCATACATGCAGTTATCATTGTTTTAATGAAATTATCATGGTATTTAAGAACTTGCTTATTATGCATTTAACTATATACATATAAATTACCTAGAAACTTGCAAACATTGAGAAATTAAAGGAGACGAAATCAACTAACGAGTTGTGCGTAGTAATCTCATCGGGTAGGTTTACCCTAACTTCTATGGTAAATATCCTTTCGCGTAAAGAGTTTAAAATTTTGCCCGATTTTATTTCGACATTGTATTTTAAACTGAATTTTCAGCTGAACGCAAATTGAGCGTGTCAGGGGGAACGTGACCATTTGTTTGCATTAGCAATCACCTGTTTATAATCAATCTAATAATTTATTATCTAAAACAGCGGTCATTTCCTATGACCGCCGGGCTTTCTAGTTTATACTACATATGTATATATAGACATTACCCGTTATTTAATTAACAGTTTAGAAAAGAAGTTCCCCTTGATGTTAAGAGATTAAGCGAGGAAGATTTTTACACAGAGAATAAAACGTATTAACCGATTTAATTTTCTTTCAAAAGTAACATTTTATAGAATTTGATTTTTCTTCTGATGATTTTTAAGAAACATTGAGAGGTCTTAGCATTGGGACACAACCCACTCCTAACATTACTTATTATAACAGTTCAAAATGCTTTTATTTATTTCTAAAAAAATAGAAATAAAAGAAAATAAGGAATGGAAATCGCCATTGTTCTCCCATCGAAAGGTTTCATTGTCTTCCTTTTCTTCATCAGATAATTCTTGAAGAATCCGAGCAAAATCAACTGGTTGCACATATTTTTTTGCCATGAAAACAAATATAAAATTTACAGAGCCAAATGTATTCAAATTAAAATAATACATGGCAATTAATAACACAAAATATTTGAGAAAAAAATATTTTCCGAATTTTAAAACACGAACACGCGCGTGTCGTAACTGTTATGAAAAAGCTGCCACGTAGCACAAAAGCCCAGTTAAAAAAAAGTCAAATAACTTCCTGCTGGCACATTCCATGATGTGGGGAAGGGTAGAAAGGAGGAATAGAAATGACCTTCAGACGTCTTAGCTTCGATATGCGAAAAATGTGTATTAAAAACTGAATTTGTCGTAAATTTTGCGCATACGCGCGTGCTTTAAGGTTAGCTTTCATTTGTATTTTATCTGTGTTCTATTTGATCTAAGAAAACTCTCTAACTTGTTATATAAAGATTTCATAGTCATTTTAACTTATAATTCTTTAATAGAACTGTGCTAAATACAGGATAGCGTACTCAGACCCCTTAATTGTGTTAAATGCGCTACATATCACTAATAAAGGTCATTAAATAATTAATTAATTTTTCATTAAAATTGCTGTTTGTTTCCACGATGTTGCCATCTCTAGACGTTTTAAGAAGACAAAATATAATGTAAAGAAAATTAGAAAAAGGATGATGAGTAAATGCATGAAGTAACCTGTGTTAAAATCGTTTAATTATTTATCGAAGTATGAAATTATTTTCTTTCATCTTTGTTAATTTGATATTCTTTCAATGAAAATTAAATAATTTTTTTTCAGTTGATTCTTCTTAAAGTATCATTTACATTTTCATGTACAGTGACCGTTAATCGTTTGGATGTCAATTTGTTAGTTATGACGAAACATGTCAGCTACATAATATGAAAGAACTCCATAAAGGCATCCGTCCCGTCAATCAGATATAATAGAGTGCTTTGCAATAATGTACTAAATCTAAATCCCCTATTGAAATATTCCGTAGCTGACATGTTTGGTCATACTAACAAAATGATATCCATCTCCCGAAATGTTACGAATGTATGATACGACCTTAAGGGAAGGGATACTTTCTTGGGGAAATTAATATGGGAAACTACGAAAACCAACAATGCAATCAGCCCTTTTACCTGATTTCGAACTATTAATATTCAGCGGTCTTCATCCCTTCGGCCACTTTTGAATTAAAATTTAATTTTTAGTACTTAGTAAGGAAAAATATCAAATTTTCCATTTTTAGGTTTTTTTTTAACATTTCTGACAATTATAAACGCAATTATTATTCTTCTAAACATTAATATAAATTATTCGAAATATTAATATAAATATTCGAAATAGTAATATAAAGTTTTAATCAAGCAATTAGATCCCATCTATACTGCATGCTACAATAAAAATCTGATTATATTCTTTATTGATTATCAGTACCAAGCAACAGCAATAGAAAATAATATGCAGAAAGAGTTTCTATGAATCCATGCATTTTCGTATTCGCGTCCAGATGGATAACCTAAACCGTGACTGTCACTTGAGGAATAATCTAAATTTCACTGCAAATGAAAATACATGTTTCCCTGTGGGAACAAAATCTGAAAGCTTTCAGATTTTATATTACGCCCAAAGAGGGCTTTTTTTTTAACGTTTTGTGTGTTATCTTTATTTATTCAATATCGCGTTCTTCGCACTTCAACCACATAAAATTCAATTCAACAGCAGTATCACAAAATATTAAAAACAGCATGTCTTTAGAATTTCCGATACACAGTTTCGCGAGCTGGAGATAAATTTTTTTTTTTTTTTTTTTTTTTTTTTTTTCCGTACAGTGTTTCCATTGCTCGCTTTGAAATCGTTAAGTTTGTTAAATAAAAATTCGTTAAAGTTTTTCAAAATATGAAATAGATAATGAAATAAATTCGAAATTCGAGCTTCTAGGTGTCCATATTAGGAAGTACGTTATTCAAAATTTCATGACTAGGTACCGTTGTTTTATCACAATGCGAGAAACCTGCATACATTCATGCAGATTCTTCGTTACTTAATTTCAATATATTATAACACAGGGCGATAATATTTGGTGGCAACAATTTAAAAAGAAATAGCGCTTTTAGTGATTCGACGCAAAACGCCATTTCGAGACTAATTGCTAGTATTTAGAAGAAAAAATACTCAATTTTCTATTTTTATTAATTATAATTTTTCTATTTTTTATGTTTTATAAGATTTCTGACAATCATAAACATTTTAAATTTTCTTCTAAACTATTATAAAATTTTTATAGATGTTCTAGCCACGTAATTAGGTAATATAAAAAAGTTCTTAACTCGGCCAGTTCTGAAAATAATTGGCAGAGTTAAGAAGCGTATAAAGACCTTCAAAATACGGCAACACTTCGAAATGAAACCCTAGAATCTCTCCTACAATCCTGTTCAGAAGCATCTGGTGAGAAATTATTGTATGGGAATAAACGCATTTATTGAAGAGGCATTGAGTTAGATGAAGTATCAGTTAACAGTGACGTTGTTTCACGTAACACATCCGCAAAAATGCACCGCGAGATTGCTTTGACATGCTCTGAGGTCACATTCAACTCATACTGCAATCAAGCCAATGTCCCCACGCACAATGCACTTACATTTCTGCCATAGTTTATACTATATTTAAAAATATTATGCTGATTGCACCATAATGGTGATGCTTATTTCTTCTTAGCGCGTTTTTTTCTTTGCAAAGTGGCAATTTTTAGAATATTTTAATAGAATTACTGGTGCATCTTTTCTCCACAGAATAAGATATTTTTTAATCAACAATAAATAAATGTATTTTAGTGAACTAAAAGTTTCATTCTCTTAAAGGACTGGGCATTGGTATAGGAGAGATATTTAACGTTTTCATTAGAAACTCCTTTTTGCTTAAAACTTAGATTCGCAAATATGAATAGAAATTATAAACAGAAATGTACAGTTAAAACTGTAAAAAATGTACATTTAAAGGTTATTTCATTTTTTGAAATAAAAAGTCAGAAGCGCTAGTCGCACTAATAAAACTAATGACTAAAGCTTTAAGGCCCGCCAGCGGTCGATCGATAAAGTCGCTGAATACTAGTAGGCTCGACATTTAGGTCCGAGGCTCG